CTTGTGAAAATTTAAATTTATATTTAATTAACCGGAAATGCACACACGTGGTTAAAGAAAGAAGTGTTAGAGAGAAAGATGATGATAGCGTGGAAGTAGATTAAATTAAAAAAAAAATTTCCCCATCAAATTAATTATTTTAAAATTTTTTTTCTTCGGTTTTTTTTCCGCTCTTTTAATGATAATAAGTATTATTATTATTATTATTATTATTATTATTATTATTATTATTATTATTATTATTATATTATTATTTTCTTAATTATCTCAATAAAAAAAAATTCGCAAGAATGAATTCACTCGTTCGTTCATTCATTCATTCATTCATTCCAAAGTCTTAATACATTTATCCAGATTAATTTCATCTCTTGTCTTATTCTTCTTCTTCATTTTTTCTCTCTCTCTCACTCTCTCTCCCTCTCTCTCCCCAAAAAAGAAAGTTTTCTTTTGTCTTTCTCACCATTCCATTTCTCTTATTTAATTATTAACTTTTTCTCCTCCACCATCATCATCATCATCATCTTTACCACCAATGATATATTTATTTTTGTTTTTTAACCGAAATAAAAACTTTATTTAGCTTTTATTATTTAATTTATTAATAATAATAATAATAATAATAATAATAATAATTCTTTTAATTTTTGACAATTTCAAAATTCGATTTCGTTAAGTTTTGTGTTTTCTTTTTAATGAGGTTACTCGCGTCAAGTGCATGCATTATCATCATCATCATCATCATCATTATTATTATTATTATTATTATTATTAATTTTTTAACTTAATTCATTTTAATTATTATTATTATTATTTCAATTCATTTGAAAAAATTTCGAGATCATTTATCATTAATAAAAAAAAAACCGTAAAAAATAATCAAATTTATATAATTTTGTTTAAACGATGACCGTGTCACGTGAGAAAAAAACTATTGATGATAATGATGATGATGACTTACTACCAAAATTCCCGATCGAAAGAAAAACATTCTAGAAATAAATAAATATTTTACGTACAAACGATTCAAGTACCTTTTTTCCGTTTGTCAATAACAAAGTTTCCCATCAAATTTTATCAGATTATAATTTAAAATCCCTAAACTCCATCATTATCATCATCATTATTATTATTATTTATTTAAGAATTTTTTTATCATCATTCATATATAAATATTATTAAATTTTAATTTTTTTTGACAGTTTCAGGTAAAAAAAAAAAAAAAATTAAAAAAAGGAAAAGAAAAAAGAAAAAATTAATTAAATTGCTTAGTCTGTCACGGTAAAGGGTTGTAGAAAGAGAGAAAAAATGTCGCATTTAAATTCTAAATGCAAACCGTAAAAATTGTTTAATTTCATGTTGAATTCTTGTTTGCGACGACGATGACGACTACAACCGACCGAACAACCGACCCAACAACCAACCAACCGAATATTACACCTGACTTTTACCCTTTTTTTTTTTTTTTAATATGTTCATATAATATTTTCCTTTTATTTTAAAATTATTCAAAACGTGCCTTAAATAAATTATGGCAATAAATATTTACCTTTATAATATAAATAATTTCCCTTTTTTTTTCTCTCTCTCTTTCTCTCACTCACTCACTCTCTATCTCTCTCTTCCCCCCGTGAAATTATTTAGGGTAAACGATATTAAATTACAACTAAAAAAAAAAAATAATAATTTCATTATTATTATCATTTCGAATTTTTTTTTTTTTACCCCGGATAAAATTTTAAGACGTAGTTGTAGTGATAGTAATAATAATAATTTTTTTTTTCGCAACGTGGTATTACTATTATTATTATTAATATTTTTTTTCGAACGAAAGAAAAATTCTAGAATGTTTTCGAAAGAAAAATTTAAAAAAAAAAAAAAAAAACATGGCGACTTACCGTACAAAACGAACGACGAATTTGTTTGTTTTCCTTTCCATTTTGATCGTGTTGTTGTCATTTTAATTACGTCATAATCATTATTATTATCATTATTATTATTATTATTTTTGTTTTCTTTTCTTTTTTTTTTCTTTCGAAAGCTGAAACGAAAAGTTTAATAAGATTTATTATATATTTATATGTGAAAGTAATAAAAAAAAAAAAAATCGTCTATTAATAATAATAATAATAATAATAATAATAATAATAATGATGATGATGATAATGATAATGATGATAATAAAGTTGCAGTTAATTAAAACTTTTTAATTTACCTATAATATAAACGTTTTTTTTTTTTTTTTTTTTTTTATTTTTAAACTTTAAAGTATTTTTGTTATTTCCCTCCTCCTCCCCCCCAAAAAAAAATTATTATTATTATTATTTAAAGGGTTGGAAATTACACTTTCAATTTTTTTTTTAATAAACTCCATGAACTGAAAAAAAAGAAAAACATTTGCTAAACATTAATAAAACAAAAAAAAAAAGGGAAAATAAATAAATTTTTAATTTTCTCTGAAACCGAATCTCGAAGAGTTGATTAATAATAATAATAATAATAAAACGTTTTCACTCGCTACTTGATCTGCTAATATACTTCCTTTTTCCTTTTTTTCTTTTTTTTTCCTTTTTTCCTTTTTTTTTTCGTAGCTTAATACGGTTTTCAGGAGTAAAAAGGAAAGGAAGTAAGAAAAAATCAAAATTTTTACAAACTTTTTATTATAAAAAACTGTCAGGGAAAAAAACCTCAGCTCCGTTACTACATATAGAAAACTTTTCAATTTTAAAGAATAAAAAAAAAGGAAGAAAGGAAAAAAGGAAGAAAAAAAAAGGAATGAAAAAAAAGGAAAAAAAAAAAAAAATCGACATTTCGGCGGTTTTAAATAACCGTAGTCGTCGTCGACCGTTGTCAGCCTGACTGAACATATTCAAACTTTTGGTTTTTTCGAATAAAAAATTTTTTTTACGCTTGTTTCCTCCCCCACCCCCTTTTTTTACGGTTCGCCCCTTAAACAAACCTTCGAAGAATTGTAAAGTAAAAAGAAAAAATAATAATAATAATACGTATTACCCCACACACGATTAATTAATTTTTTGTTTTCATTCATTCATTCATTTTGGAAAAGGCAAATGTCAACGAATTTCACTTTCCCCCCTCCCTCCTTTCTTCCTCCCCCCCGCCGAAAATATTTTTTCCCTAAGGTAACAAAAATTTTTTGATCGACTCATGTCAATTGAAAAAAAAAAAAAAATTTTTTTTTTTTTTAAATTTAATCTAGTTTATGGTAATTTCAACGACAGAAAGAAAAAAAAGAAAACACAAATTTTACTTTATTGCTTTTTCTCTCTCTCTCTCTCTCACTCTCACTCACACACACACTCTCTCTCTCTCTCTCTCTCACTCTCATTTCTATCGCAAAAAAAAAAAAAAAATTTTCTTTTTATTTTTCTTTTAACGTATTCTTCTTCCTCTTCTTCTTTTATTTTTTTATTATTAAATTTCTTTTCTTTTTTTTTTTCATTTTTTTGTACCGGTAGTAATAATAATAATAATAATGATAATAATAATAAAAGAACGAAACCATTTTTTAATAAAAAAAAAAAAAAACGCAAAAATCGATCGTGACACGTGATTCGTACAAAAAATTATTTCATCATGTTATGATAACATACATACATATTTGATTTTCGGAGAAAAATTTTAATATTATTATTATTATTATTAATAAAATTCCCATTTTAATATTATTATTACAAAACAGTTGAGGGAAATCAACAATTTCGAAAGGGATTCGTTCGACACAGGGAGAGAGGAAAACGTTTTTGCAAAAAAAAAAAAATGTCAAATTCGCGTGAGAAAACACACGAGAGGAAAAAAAATAAACGGTTATTTAGAAGAAGAAAAATGGCAGGAAGATACCGTTTAACGAAGCTGAGGCAATGACAAGTTAAAGAAAGATAAAGAGAGAGTATACGGAGTCTGATTCGAGTGGGGATTTGCCCAAAGGGAGGAAGAAGAAAGAGAGTAAAGTTATCAGAGCATTAAAATTCTAAAAGGTAGAGAGTAAGGAAAGCGGATATAGAACTTCAGGTAAAAGAAAGAAAGAGAGAAAAAGAGAGAGAGAGAGAGAGAAAAAAAAAGAAAAAAAAAGGTAAGGGAAAAAAGGGGGAATGATAAATCTGTCCCGGTTTGCTCGCTGAATAACAACGTGAACTTTATCAGAGTCAGAAGAAAGCCTCTACACTTGACGGAGTCATTTAAAAAAAAATAAATATTTTACTCTTTTCACGACAAACTTTCTTCTTCTTCATCTTCATCTTCTTCTTCTTCTTTTCCTTTTTCTTTAAAAAAAATTATTATTATTATTATTATTATAAATAAAACTGATGAATGTTCATCATTGCCACTGGATGAATTGTCGTCATCTTCTTGATAAGTCACAAAAAAAAAACAAATTATTATTATCAAATAAAAATTTTATTTCACATCTGAAAACTTTAATTTTTTTTTTTTCGTCTGTAATTAAAAATTATTAGGAAATCATAGAACAAACAAACAAACAAACAAACACACTTTCGAGTAATGATTCATAAATTTCCAAAAACAAACAAACAAACAAACACAAATAATTTTAAATTTAAAAAAAAATCCCTTTTTTTTTCTTCCTCTGAAATAAAATTTGTGTTGCACATAATCAAAAAAAAAAAAAAAGAAAAAACTGTTTTAAGTAAATAATAATAATAATAATAATAATAAAAGTTTCAAAACTTTTTTTTCCTTTTAAATCGCCCGCAGCATATTTTTTTTTTTTTTTTAAATATTGATTAAAAAGAGTCGTAATTAAAATTTAAAATACCTGGTTCTGATGATAATTAATTGTCCTTCATCGAATGTTTTTAAACACACTAAAAACTGTTTTTTAACACTTTCACAATTAACTGTTTTTTTTTTTTTTTTTTGTCTTTTAAATCGTCAATTTTACTTTTTTTTTTTTTTTTTAAATGAAATTTTTAAGTAACTGCTCACGAGTATGAACGCACTTAAAAATATTTAAAGTACTCTCAGAGTATCACATCAACTGGAGTCCATTTTGAACCTTCAATGGCATCCCATAAATCATAATCTTTGTTTATAGTTTCCTGATTCAATTCGTCCACGTCTATGGGCGTGTAATGATCTGAAAAATAAAACAAAACAAAAATTTTTATTATTAGTTATGATTTTAATAAATAACGATAAAAATTTAATTTAATATAAACATGTAATAAATGAGTAATAAATTATTACATTACCTATTAGTTCAAGATCATTCAGGGATTCTCCCATAAAATCAGTATGAGCTAAAGCAGTGTGATCCTGAGTATCGTAATAACTTTGAGGCCAAGAATAAGTTTGCCAAGCAGTCGGATCGTAATATGATTGTGCAGCAGTATAATCATAAGTTGTCGCAGTGGTATCCGTTGTCACTGTTGTGGTGGTAGTGGTTGTGGTAGTAGTCGTGGTCCTTGACAAAAAAATTCATTACATTTTGATTTTAATAATATTGAGCAAACTAATAAAATCAAACAAAAATTATAACTTACTCTTTATTTTTCCATGGAGTTTTCGGAACTGCACCGCTAACTTTGATAGGTCTCGATCCCAAACCCTTGAAACCATTCATTTGTATGCAGCAATTTTTTTGTTCTTCTTCTGAAGCGAATCTAATAAATGCATAACCTTTACTGAATCCAGCAGAATCTAGTACAACTGAAATTACAAAATTATTATATTAATTTTAAAAAAAAATAAATTATGTGTAAAATATTAAAAAATTAATGAAATAAAATTTTAATATAAAACAATTTAAAATTATTCAAATGTAAACAATTAGAGAAATATGGAGAAAATTGTGATCTCATAAGAAAATAATTAAAGCAAACTCATGAGAAATAATAATTTGAATTCAATTATTAAAAGACAAGGTTAATAATTTTATACTGAGCTTAGATATTTAAAAAATACATTACCTTTGGCAGTTCTAATAGATTGATATCTTGAAGCAAAGCATTTGTACAATGTGTAATCATCGATATCAGGACTCAAATCGCCAACCCATAAGGAATATTCTTTATCTTGTCCAACAACAGGACGATTGTTAGGACCAGCATGATTCAATTTGAACCTTACAGGAGGAGATGAATTTGGTATAACTTTTCCATTTAATTTGTGCATAACGGTTCTTGCAATTTCGTCTGATGTGAAATGTACAAAACAATATCCAGCTTGCTCTCCGGTTAACCTATTTCTCATAATCTTTATAGCAGTTGGAGATTCACCCATTTTAACAAATGCATTCATGAGAAAACTTTCCGTCATGTACGACTCCAACTGAAAAGAAATTTTATTTTAATAAATTAAATCAGTAAAAACGTTTTACATTGCTTACGCCAATCAACGAATCGTTTTCATTTTAATAATAATTACCGAACCCATCCACAACTGACATTGTTGATTCATTCTTTTTTAAAATTAATAAGTAATTAATAAAAATATTAATACAAATTCTCACGGAAAATTAATTAAAATTTTAATTTTCGGTGTGAATTGTTTAACATTTGAAATACCATTACAAAAAAAAAAAAAAAAAAACCACTTGCGCAATAAAGACATTTCTCCCTTTACTTGTTTGCCATTTCATATAAGAGAAATTTTGTTCTACATGGTTGGCAAACCGTTTTATGATTCTACTGCTCTTTTACAAATAATATAGTTTTTCTACGTTTTAAAGTTAGAACTTTATTCTATTTTACTGTTTTTGCTTACTCACAAATATTGTTTAAAATGTCCTACGCATATTTATTTAAATATATCATTATAGGTGACACAGGTAAGTTAAATCATTATTTATTAACCCACCCTTATCATTGGGGTGTTTAAGACAATGTACGTCAAAGAGAAATGACAGCTAACTATGTACACAGGAGACTTAATCGAGGGACAGAAATTTTTTTTTTTTTTTTTCTATTTAATTGCTGAGTCATTTATTAAACTGAAAAAATCAAAGGAATTAATTATTATATATAAATACAAATTTTAATTACAGGTGTTGGAAAATCGTGTCTACTTCTTCAATTTACAGACAAAAGATTTCAGCCTGTTCATGATTTAACAATAGGTAACGAAAAAATTATTTTTTTTTTTTTTTGTAACTTAAATTTTTCTCCATTAAAAATAACTTTTTAAATTTAATTTAAAAGTTAATACGCGTTAAAACCATCATGTTCTTTTATTAAAAGTCATAAAGGAAGTCCTTTGTTAGAAATTTTTTCAAGGAAATCACAAACAGATTGTTTGATTATTTCCATTGATTTTTCATAAAAAAAAAACTTTATTATAAAGGTGTGGAGTTTGGTGCACGAATGATTACAATTGATGGAAAACAAATTAAACTACAAATTTGGGATACTGCAGGGCAAGAAGCATTTCGATCTATAACTAGATCGTATTACAGGGGTGCAGCAGGGGCTCTTCTTGTTTATGATATTACCAGAAGGGAAACATTCAATCATCTTACTTCATGGTTAGATGATGCTCGACAACATTCCAATTCTAATATGGTTATAATGCTTATCGGAAACAAAAGGTATGAACGAATAATGTATTTTTTTTTTTTTGTAACTTACGATCATCATAAAATTAATCCACCTTTGAACATTTACCTATAATAACATAAACTGTGGACATTGGAAGTAGAACAATAAAAATTAATTTATCACCTGATAAATTTAAAGAGTTATTTTCCGAGGTCATTGTTTTTTTACTTTTCATTGCACAATGTTTTTACTTTGTCTAAATTTTAAATAGTTTAACCTAAAACCATTTTTGTCATAAAGTCATTATTACACTACTATGCATAAAACTTTCATTTCCTAGTTTTAAAGTCATTCCTAGTCTGGTCATTTATCATTTTATATGCATTCATTCAGGTCACTGTGAAATTTATTTTTTCCTTTTACATTTAAACATATGAAATCGAAAAAAAAAAATCATGTGACCATGACATTTGTTATGTTAATGAATTTTATAGTTTTGGGTTTCATTATTATTATTAATAGATATTTTTTTGTCTTTTTCTCTTTCTCTCTCTCTCTCTCTCTCTCTCGCTCATTTGCAAACAGTGATTTAGAAATAAAAAGAGAAGTGAAAAAGGAAGAGGGTGAAGCATTTGCTAGAGAGCATGGTTTAATTTTCATGGAAACTTCCGCCAAGACTGCTACAAATGTAGAAGAAGCTTTTATAAATACTGCTAAAGAAATTTATGAGAAAATTCAAGAGGGTGTTTTCGACATTAACAATGAGGTTGGTAAATCAATCTCCTCAGCTTCAACACTTTTAAATTTTGATTTTATTCATTTAAAATTTTTTTTTCATTTTCACAGGCAAATGGTATAAAAATTGGTCCTCAACACTCTCCAACGAATCCAAACCTACCATCGGGTACTCAAGGTGGCATGCAAGGAGGTGGCTGCTGTTAGGAAATGGCCTGCCTCACTCTGTGTTATGTATGAGGCTTGAATTTTTTTTTTTTTTCTCTCTCTCTTCCCTCCCCCCCCCTTCTATTTTCTTCCTAAGCCTCAGCCTCGACTACACTAAATGTTTCTTTATGTCCACGGTATCTCTTGATATAATTTTTATGTAGATGATGATGATGATGATAATAATGATGATATATATATATACATACATACAACACGTTTTCTCGACTGTGTGCTTTTTCTCATATTGATTTTACTTGTTACTATACATTTATATTATATATATCTACATCTGGAATTGTGTTACACAAAAAAAAAAAAAAAAAAAAAAAAAATTTTTTTTTTTTTACTGTAATTATTTGTAAACTAAATAACGCGATTGCTAATAATAATAATAATAATAATAATCAATTGTAAAATTTTTACGTTTGTTCGATTCGATAAAACAACGCCTGAACAAGCAAACAAACAAACAAACAACAACAACAACAACAACAACATGTTTGTTAACATATAAAAAGACATAAAGAAAGAGTGATGCTATGCCAAAGAGATTAATAATTTTTTTTTTTATAAACAAATAATAATAATAATAATAACAATATTCAGATAAAATTGTTTTTTTTGTTTTTTTAAAGTGATAATGTCTTCAAAATATATATATATATTTTTCTCATTAGTTGCTTTACCTAATAATAGAAAAATAAAAGAAATTATAATGTCAATTTTAAAATCGATATTATTTTAAATATCAACCCCCAAAAAAAAAAAAAAAAAAATTATTATTATTATTATTATGTATATTCATCACTGAGCTAATAATGGCTTCTTTAACATTTATTCATATTTAATAATAATAATAATAAATAATACCTTGTATTAATATTAATGCAATTATTTAATTGAAAAATTATTTAAAATAAATAAATGAAATATTATATTAATCAAACACGTACACACACACTTTTACGCAGGAGGGGGATACGTTATTAATAATAATAATAATAATAATTTTTTGTCACGTTTAAAATTTTACGTCATATTTTTAAATTATGATCTCTCTTTGTAAAAATCTATAATTTTTTTTTTTTTTTTTTTCATTATCAACGGTAAATTTAATATCTGCCAAGTTTTTTTATTTACAATAATAATAATAATAATAACGTATGCATAAATATATATATATATAATCACGGGGTGTATTATTATTATTATTACTACGGGGGGGGGGGGTGATTTAAAAAATAAAAGCTTTCGTTGTTAATAAATAAGATCCAAAAAAAAAAAAAAAAAAAAAAAAAATGATTTGATGACGAATTCTAAATTTATTAAAATAATAATAATAATAATTATTATTATTATTATTATTACTACTACTACGGTTTGTTTTGTTTTGTTTATTTTGTATTGTTTGTTATTATTTTTGTTTTGCTTTAATTTTTATATAATTATATATTTAAATTTTTTTTTTTTTTTTTACTTCAGTGTCGTTTAATTATATTTAAATAAATAAATAAATAAATAAAATAAGTAAATAAATGTAAAATTAGTAATTTTCTCTGTGCTAAAATTAATAATAATAATGATTTTAAATAAAAAAAATTATTTACGATAAGAAAATATACAAAAAATCATAATTATTATTATTATTATTATAATTATTATTATTCTATTTCAACCTAAACGATCGATAATTATAATAATAATAATAATGACCTTTTTATTTTATGTTTTTAAAGCGCGCGCAAAAAAATGATTAATAATAATAATAATAAGAAATTACGTTTAAATAAATTTTTTTTTAAACGGGAAAAGTTTTTTAAAAAAATTAAATTGAGGGGGGGGGTAGGGGGATTTAACGTGTTTCGATAATTGAATTAAATTTAAATTTAAATTTAAATTTTTTTTTTTACTTTACAAGGGAAAAAATAAATAAATAAATAAATGGAATTAAATGCACGTGATTTTTCATTTAAAAATGTGTCATTGGCGTCGGCATATTAAAATAAGAACCAGATTTTTTTTTTTTTTAAAGAAAAGTAAATGTCATTCCCTGACCCACAACTTTTTTTTTTTTTTTTTTTTTTTTTTTTTAATTCAAGGGAATTAAAATTATATAAATCGTTGAATAAATAAATAAATTTTTTTTTTTTTTTTTTTCATTTTCCACGTGCGGTTATTGTAACAAAAAAAAAAAAAAAAATTAAAAAAATTATTTGTTTTGACATTTTTTTTTTTTTTTAAATCAACCGGTGCTGCTTTTTACGGTCGTTTGCAGAACTAATAAAAACAACTAAAATTGGGGGCGGACCAACGCATTTAATATTGTTGTCAGTTTAAAATACGTTATAATATTTAGTTTTTTTTTTTTTTTCCTTTTTTTTCTTTTTTTTTTTTTTCCCCCCCTTTTCCCTTATTATTAATATTATTATTATTTTTATCGAGTTTGAAAAAGTAATCATTTAACTTATGTTTAACTATATATATATATATATATATTATTTATTATTATTTTTAACGCGTTAAGTAAAAAAAAAAAATTTTTTTTTTTTCAAGTATTTCTTATGTGTTGATCGTTAATTAATTTAACCAAGTTTGGTTATGCCGCGTGTTATTATCATCACGAGACTAGCATTCACGTTAGTTAAATAATTACCGCGAATTCTTATAACAATTATTATTATTATTAATGTGTTTATTAGTTATTATTTAATAAGAATTGATGTAGCCGAGATTTTTTTTGTTCCGTATTAGAAAACAAACACACAAATTACAAAAAAAAAAAAACATGCATACCTGTAAGTAATGTTCATTTGTATTTTATAATTGTTTGCATGCGATCAAAGGTTATAATGCAATGTTTTTTTTTTTTTTTTTTTTTCTTTCTCCTGAATGAAAACGTTCACGTTTATTGACGTATTGATTTCTTTTTTTTAAATATTGTATTTAATTTATTTATGGTTAATTAATTTATATATGATTGTGATTCGACAACAATGAAAGTGACAAATGACAGATCTCCCCCTTGATATAATTATTAATTTTTTACAAATGTGTGCCTGTGTGTGTGTGCGTGTGTACGAAAGCTTTTAATTTAAATTTAATCTTATACTTAGGTACTTGTCAAATATGTATGTTTACATGTGTTAAGTAATTGTCAATCGGTTTTTTGTACAAAAGGTTATTTTGGCCTGAATTCGAACTCTCATTTAGACAGTACCTGTCAAAGCATTTGTTAAACCTTTTATCGTTAAATAATCATTTTTAAAATTCTCTAATTTTGTAAACAATGTTCCTTCCTACCATAGAGTTTTATTATATCCACATGCATATAATTTGTCGAAAAAAAAAAATTAAAAAGTTTAGAATGTTTTAAAGTTCTTCGAATTCAAAAAAAATTTAAATTTGAATTTTTTCTCTCTCTCTCTCTCTCTCTTTTTTTTTTTTTTTTTTATGTTAGAATATATATATGTTTTAAATTAATATTATTTAGTCATTTGAAATGTATTTGTTGTTTTTTTTTTTTTTTTTTTTTTTTTTGAAAATTACCAAATTTAAAATAAAGAATAAGAATCGAGAGTATTTAAAACTTTTTCAAACGACTAAATATTATTTTTTAAATTTTTTGAAATCGAACAAACAATCAATTATTATTATTATTATTATTATTATTATTAAGACTCAAAGACTATTAATTAATTTTATAATGTTCGATTATTATTATTATTATTATTTAAGATAAAAACTCCCATAAATTATTATTATTATTATTTCTTTTCTTTTTTTTTTTTTTTTTTTTTTTTTAATTAGAAATCTAAACTATATTGAACTATGTTAATTAAAATTTTTTTTTTTTTTTTTTTTAAATTAGGTTAATTAATGTGACAAATAATTAATAAATAAGGCAAGTTTTTCCAAATGATAATAATAATAATAATAATAAAACGTTATAAATTGAAAAAAAGAAAGGAAAATTTGCATTGCATTCCGGTGGGGGGGGGGGAACATGCATTGCTAATAATAATAATAATGTTACCACCACTTATAAGAACAGTCTGAAAAATGCTTTTTTTTAAATTATGGAAGTTATAAAGTTTGTGCGTTCTTAATTAAAAAATGGCGTGACCTATTTTTCTTTTTTCTTTTGTTTTTTTTGAGACAGAGAAAAAAAGTGGGAAATTTTTTTTTACTCTCCTCACCCCACGTCCCCCGGCGTAAGTTTTCGCACGCGCACACACGCACACTTATAAGGAAAAAATTTTTTAACTCGATTAATTCCAGTTTGTTTCGCTAATAGAATTAAAAATGTTTTGAAAAAAAAAAAAAAAAACGATTATTATTATTATTATTATTATTATTATTATTATTATTATTTAATGGCGGACTCTCACATTCTTTACGATTTCTGTTCGTTAAAAAAAAAAAAAAAAATTGATATTTTTTATAGGGAAATTCACGTTCGTTTTTTTTTTTTTTAAATTTTATTTCGAGGTGTTTTATCAGTACAAAAAAAAACGGAAAAATCAAAAAGTTTTCAATTCCCGTGACTTGTACTTTTACCATTTTATCCCTGACCCTCTTCCTGTGACCTTAAAACGACCAAATTTTATTTTTTATTTTTTTTAACGGTTTTGTTTACTGCGTGTTTTTTTTACTTTTTTTTTTTTTTTTTACTGTAGTAATTATTTTTGTGATCGGATGTTTTCGTAAAGGTTTAGTAAAAGTAAGACAGAGAGAGAGAAAGAGTTTTCGGATGTAATCCGTGAATTAAGTAAAAAAAAAAAAAAAGCCGGAAAAAGATTTGAAAATTTATTTTTCAAATGTTTTGTCGTTTTATTATTTGCCCCCTTCCCTCCCTTCTCCCCTTTCTTCCCGAAAATGATTTTAATTTTTTTTTTTTTCGTTATTAAGTAGGTTGTCTGTGTAGGTCTATGTTTGTCCATAGTAGGTTGTGTATAAATGGGGAGAAAAAAAATTTGGTACGCCTAAACCAACGAACC